TAATTAGCACTGTTTGTGTGAGGTGTTCATTTTATTAACTGCATTAGCTCAAACATGTTTCTCCCATCAGATCGATCATACATGCGACTTACAGAGAAGGAGCACGAGACGCTACCAATTGATGTGAGTAACTTTTATCCTTACTTTCAGCCTTTTTCCTGATTTCAAATACTTTTTTTTCTTTTTGTTTTACCAAGCGTTTTCCTTCTTTGTGTTTCCAGATTGTACTGCAGACTTTGTTGTCATTTATCATGACCTGTTACGGTATTGTCCACATCGCTGGAGAGTTCAAAGATATGGATGCTTCCTCAGAGCTGAAAAACAAGTAAGCTGACTTCACCTTGGCACACCTCCACTCCCTCGGCAGTGCAGTTGTTTTTTGTCCTCTGTCACAGGGGAAGCTCATGGCTCACCACCTCAGCGACATTTATAGTAATATTACTGTGAAGCTGTTCACCTCGAATCCCACAGATGCAGCTTTACATCACACAGCTAGTGTGTTGAAAGCCTCCTAAGACTGAAAACGTATTCAAAGCAAAGCCAAAGAATGGGGCCTATACGTGAAAGTAAATGAAAGGTTGCTGGGTTGACAGAAGAACTTTGGGTCACAGTGTGACATTATTATAACTACAGCTGCAGGTGACAAGATGGTGTTTTGGCTGGAGCTTCAGTCTGTTGTTCAGTGTTATGAACATTGACTACTTCAGCTGTTAGTGAAGGGAGGAGTTGTGTGCCTGTCTAGTATCATACTGTTGCAAATGACTAAAATTATTAATTCAATAATTTTTAGCAGTGATTAATATGAGTCTTTGTGCTTAAACTGTAAGAACTGTGTAACATTACAAACAAAACACACATTTCTGTAGTACATAGAAAAGTTCATGTGTTTCACTGTCATTTATTTGTTTATATATTCATTACTTTGGCATTGTATGTATGGCTGTAGGTAGGTGAGGTGTTTATCAATAGAAAAAGCTGTCAAATTCATGAAAATACTGTTAAGCCCAGGCTCTATACCCTTGTTTACATTTTTCAAAGGCATGGAGTGGGCCCGGTCTGAATCCTTGCCAGGCTGAATCTGGTACCTAGGCCTCATGTTTCCCATCCCTGCTTGATCACCTTTAATCCATCAGTGAGGTTTTATCAGATCAGATAAAAGAATGAATAAAGTGATTAGGACGCAACTGCAGCAGCAACATTGTATAAACTAAGCAGTCATACATAAGAATTAAAGAGATGTTTTAAAGAAGTAAGGTGGTAAGAAAGCCAAACATAAGTGACTTGTTCATGTTGTGATCTGCTAACTGGTTAGTTTGAGTGCTGAACCCAAAATATAGGCAAAGTTTTTACAGCGGGAGTGTAACCACTTCTAGATTTAATAAGTGAACCCTGTAGATGCAAATCGGCAAGCAAAGCATCCCACATGAGAAATCACAGCTTGAATGTTACACAGTTGATGCAATTCTCCCCTGAAACTTTCAATTTTACCTGAAAAAATGTCTCATCTGATGACTGGACACTGGGTTGTCCACACTGCAACACTAATGATTCCAGTGGGTGTTAACATTGGTTTGTTTCTTTATTCTAACTCTGTATTGGGATGTAAACACACTTTTCTGTCCCTTCTCTCCTACAGGAGTGGATTATATAATTTAACAGATGTAATCAATCTCCATAACTTCCTGCCTCTTGGTGCCAGTGTTTAAGACGTTTTTCTATTTTCTTTCTTTCCCCAGGACTTTTGACACTCTGAGGAACCACCCATCCTTCTACCTTTTCAATCACAGGGGTCGGGTGCTATTCCGCACACCAGAGGAGGAGCCCTCTTCTGTACGCAACCAACAAGCTCTGCCCAACCCCATACGGTTACGCAAGCTGGAGCATTTGCACTGAGACTGGCCTTTTCCTGTCTGTAATACGGTCATTGTCAGATAAGATTTGTTTTTGTTAGGCAGAAGGAGGGAGAACGTGTCAGAATTCATCTTTCTCCTATTTAACTTTTCTTTATTTTTTTTGTAAATAAACTAATAATGCTGTCTGAACATGCATCTCTGTCCATTACGTGGTTGCCACCATATTCAACACTGACTGTGCCAACCTCTCAGTTTTTGTTTTTATTATTTCCAAGCAGACTTGTTTGTATATACAGTATGTAAACGCTTTGGAGTCTTAAAATGCTGAGACATGTACCCCTTTGATCCCTTCTGAACTGAACTGGGATATTACTCTCCTTTGTATATCTTTTGTATGAAGGGAATAACAAAGCCTGCTTTGGTTGCTGTTTCGTTTCAAACACACGTCAGCAACTGAAAACTTTGTCAACTAAAATGAGATTAATCAGTGGACTCTAATATTTGCTTTATTATTTCCAGGAAGCATAAATGATCTGTACACTCTGTATGTGAGCAAAATGGTTTTTAAGTCACAGGAAATGAGGTGAACACTGGGATGGGCGATATTAGAGCGCTATTATAATGAGACTGTGAACACTATAAGGCAGACTAGCCAGTACTGGTACATTAGAGTGGATTTTTATTTCCCTTCATTTTACATTTCGTCAATATTCAACAGATTGTTTTTAATTTAATAAAAGGCATACTGATTTTACGAAGTGTCCAGATCTCCTTTTTTGTTGTACTTGGGCTGGAATATTGCTTTTGTGAGACAAAACTAAGTTGACTATTTATTTTCCAGGTAATCTATTTATGCAGGAAGAAGTTGGTACGCATGGCTTTAAAAAATTTAATTACTATAGTGACAGTCTGCAGAGCTGTGCTGTACCTGTGACCTTGGTGCAGGACTGCTGCGTCACAAAAAAACCCTCCTGATCCAAAAAACCTGCAGCTGCTTATGATGGACACTAGGTGGCAGTCAAGGCTAAAGTTCCAGTCTGGGTTAAAATGGAGCAAACTAACAAACCATGTAGAACAGAAATGGAGAAAAAGTACATATTAAATGCTTGTTTCACTAATGTGTCTTTAATATAAAAACACAAGAATCAAGTAATTTAAAAATTGAGACTTTAAAAGATTTCAGAGATGTACTGGTGCAATTTTCAAGAACAAGTGTGATGTGCAGAGCTGCACTAAGTACACAGGGATCAAGTTTATGAGCTGCATCATAAAGTAGGAGGTCATTTCGACCACGTCTACACGCTTAAATTCGCGGAGTTGCTGATGTGTGATTGGCTCGCAAGACACCTCCAATAACAAGCAGTTGAACAGGCGTGCCTAATAAAGTGGCTGCTGAGTGTAAATGCAATTCCAGTGTTTGCAGGTTTTTGTAAAATTACAATTTGTTGTAATCAATGACAAAGGGTCACCAAGAAAATAGGTCCAGCTGCTGTGCGTGTCGCAGAGCTCTGCTCCACAACTCCATCACTCTGTCAGACACACACTGAAAGTGTTGTGTCTGCAGCATTTGCTCAGTTTAAAAGTGAGGCTTTACAAAAGAAACACAGACTCTAGAGACTTTATGGAGGTTAAACCAAAACTGCTTGAATAAAAAAGATGAAAGTAAGCGAGCTGTGTGCTCATCAACCGTTTAAGTCTTTAAAAAAAACACCAACTTCAAGCTAGAACTACACAGTCTGACGCACAAAACACCGTTCTACCCGTGGCTTAATTTTTTATCATTTTTTTTATTTTTCTGTTTTGATGAAAAAAGAAGTAGGTTCATAAAACTTTCCACTTTTTATATGTATTTTAACAGTTTACAAAAATGGCTTTGAACATTTGTCTTTCAAAATATTTCTTAGACTCTGAAATAAGCAATTTCACAAAAATAATCTCTATTCCCTATGAACATTAAAAAGTAGTGTACATCTGTTGTAAAAACAAGGAGAAATCAGGAGGAGTGCTGACACCGGGTTCATCTGAAAAGCAGCAGAGGAGAAATGCAAAAGGTTCAACTTCAACAAAAAGGCGACTGCTGGATGCAAAACTGCGTTACGCTGGGGAACCACTGGAGCGTTTGAGGTGTGAGGATGACTCGGGCGTGAGTGTGCGCCTGTGGAGTTGCAGGAGTGACCCATGTTGTATTGCTGTGATGGCAGGTGAGAGGAAGAATGCTCCTCGGTCACTTAACCAGTAAACACTGCTGCTTCTGTGCAACTATCACAAAAAACACTGATTCGGCTACTTGGTGCTGTCCTTCAAAGTCACGCTTTAAAAGGTTGGAGCTGGTTGTGGGTTCAGGACATGTTGGGAGCTGCCATGAGTGAGGCATATGTGAATCTTATTTAATGCTGTTTGGGGTTGGGCAATATGGTCATATTCACACTATGAGTTTGCTATACTGACTCAAATCTATTACACACCAATACTGAACACAGTATTTTCCATAATGTGCATCCTGCTGACTGATTTAGCCATAAATACACATTTCTAATGCATTCCCAGAAAAGCAACGCTATATCGCTACTAAGGGTGGGTTTAAAAAACTCACTTTTCTGATTCAAATTGATTTTAGCTTTAATAACGCGTTATCGATTCATTATATCCTGAATTGATTTTTAAATACAAATGTATTTTACCAGCAATGTCAGAATCTCCGGTTAAAGCTCACAAAATTATTTCAGCAACCATCAAACAGCTAAAACAGCAAACGAGAGCAGGTAAACGGATTCTGCACGAAGCGCGGATTGTTCAGCCGATGGCACGGACACGGACACGCCGTCGGGCTGAAAGCCGACATCTCACAGATTCTGATGCTGAAGGTTTGGATGTCTCAAATCTCTGTTTTCTGTTACTTCTGCTACTATGGCACTCATAGTCCTATTCCCATATTGCCCACCTCTGATGCCAGTGCAACCAGTAATAATGGGGGCATATTGATCAACAGTAACATGGACAACAAAGTGCATCCTGTTGCCGATTTAACACAAAAAAATATGAGGGTTTGTCTTGCTTCTGGACAGTATTTCTCCTTCCATCCGTGAATTTCCATGAATGCACATTTTATTACCCATAAAACACTTTTCAGACCAGCTGAAGAAGGGCCTGTTTTGTTTTGTTTTTTATTTTTTAGCATAACTATCCCAATAAGCCAGTCTACCCACTGCTTTGCTGGCTTACTGTGTTATCTGTCTAATGGAGTGTATGTGTGGTTTCTGAGCAACATCCCCATACAGACAAAAGCCATATGGGTGTTTAAGGCATCTGTCAGAGGATTATTTTTAAAGTGTCTGTACTCATCCCCAGTGGAGCTGCTCCCCAAGGCCCCTCCTCTGAATAAGCCCTCTGCCTCTAACAGGATGTGACGTACAGCACAGGGACTATCAGTGCATTTGTTCCTCTCCCAAGCTGGTTTCCAAATCGGAATTTCTGAGGCTTGGTCTAGAGGGATGCCTCTCTTCGGGTTGCGATGTCCAGCCGGCAAGAAAATTTAAGCAAAAGTGGCTTTGTCACTACCTGCCATGGTCATTGGGAAGCTGTGGTGTTGTTTGCTTCTCCTCCAGCTCCGTGAGGGCGTTCTCCAGCTGCTGGATCAGTACTCGCTTCTTGAACCTGTTCGGGACATGTTTAGATGTTACTTTGGATCACAGCGACGACTTTTCAATAACAGGAAGAACAAGGAGTCGTGCGACATCAACCTCACATGAAATCAGTGTAAGAAGAGACAGAACAGATGAATCCACAGATGAACTGCGGCAAGGTGTTTGGAACAAGTGCAGTTGTAATGCTGGTGGGAGCTCACACTATCGATTTGATTTCCTTTTCCAGCTTACTGCAGTGGGAACCTCAAACTTTATCAGAGTGCTGCAGATGAATTTGATTCAAAGGGCTATGAAATGAATGCCATTGAAGCCGCAGTGCCTCAGAAACACTGAACTCACTGTATGTCAGTGCAGCGACGCGCTGTTTAACAGGCTTGTCCGGGGATTTCAAAAGATTCAAAGCCGCTCAGTTTCTTACCTCATTGCTTCTTTGATGGCGTGCTGGATGAAGTACCTCTGTACGTTTGGCGGGCCTTTCACCTGCTGCAGTAGTCTGAGTATTGCATCATAGTCTGAGAAAAGGCACAAGGTAAGGAAGCGGTTCAAATGTTCCCAGTACGCCCCCAAATTAGAAATAAAATGAATCAGTATTTTATATTTCTCTGCCACCTCTGACTGATTTAGCTGAGAAATCAAAAACAATTTGGGATTTATATGAAAAAAAGTTTTTAAAAATGTGTAAACATATTGTTAATGTTGTATTACTGGCCGCACAGCTGACAGATCCATTATGTTTTTTGTTTTTTTTTAAATACTGCAATGTTCCTCACTGGGTGCACATAGACTGTAAATGGGCTACAGCTACCTCTTCTCTGATGTAATGAAAAAAAGCTAAAATTCAGAAAACTAATCCAATTTTAAAACATGTGAAAGTGTGATATGATCAAGCATTAAGGACAATCAAGCTTCGACCTTTAACTTTACCCCCATAAAGACGACATCTGACAATAACTCTAACAGACGCCCAAGGAGAAAAGAGTTTTCATGTGTTTGAAGAGGTTTAACATCCGTTTCATCCGAACTTTGAACTAAAGGGAAACATTTTATCTTAAAAGAACATTTTAAAGGCACAGCAGCATAATTCCCCCACCAACAATGACCAAAGACTGTTTTAGAAAGTGCATCACTCAGTCTAATTACCTTTTTAGAGCATCTTCATCTGTGAGTTCACATGAAAAACTAAATGCATGGGGATGAAAATCAGGACCCTGAAATCTCATCAGATGACTAGAAATCAGCTTGTGCTGGAACTCATAATCAGATGATGAATACGAACTGTAGATTACCTTAGATTAATAAGTATTAAATGTAAACAGCTAAAGAAGTCTCACTGTGGCAAGATTTAAACATTATGGGACGAATGCTGCTGTTTTTGGCTACGATGCGCTCGCCTTTCAGTGTACCAACTTCCTGATAAAGTGAAGTATAATCCAAAGAAATTCGCTGTTGAAAGGACAATGTTTTCAAGTTCAATAAATCCACTGTGATCAGGCGCCGGTTTAGCTCAGTGATTTGCCACGTGTCTTCCCCTGCCTCTCTGTCTTTGCTGTCCCTTCCTGTTATTTCTTCACTGTATCTGTCAACAAAAGCTGAAAAAGACCCAAAAGATCAATAAAAATCAACTGTGATAATTTAAATCACAATATTGTCCAGAATGTCCGACCGTCCACTACAAACACTAACACAAATATTTTAAGCAAACAAAAAAATCTGAAAAGGTTTGAGGAACTCTTTTGAACTTTCTCCAACGTCGTCTGAATAAGTCCGTGTTTCATGCACTTGAAATTGATCATTTTTATTTGCAATTAAATATTTCTTTTTAAAACTTGCACTTTTTCCTAATAAACTATACAGACTGTCACGCATCAGTCTTAGTTCTGTGTTTTGCTTCTGCTTCTTTTCATATTGACAGTCTTTTTTGGCTATTATTAATATGAAGGCCTGGAAAAATATGTTTTAGAGACTCACCAATTCTTAATGTAGCCGTTCACACAGACCACATAATTTTGCTTGATAATTTTTGGCATTTTTTCCAATCAAGCTTGAATTTTCCAATTTTTTGCAAATAGATGATGAGAACAGATGTGACTAATCAGGCCACTGCCTTTGGTAACAAGTGACCTCGTAACACATATATACAACTACTAAAATAATATTATTATAAATCAGACACACAGCTAGATGCTGATTCAGGTCAGTTAGCTCTCTGAAATGATTTCACAGCTCCCAGCTCTGCTAACAAGAGATCAAACTGCCCACTGACGCCCTGAAATATGTACGTAAGCGGCCGTGATGCAGTTTCATCTCCTGGATCGAACCCTGAGGAATTGGATGAACTGAGAATCTGTTTCTTCCTTTTCTTGTTGTGAAACATCAGGACCAGCTCATCGTGGTTTGATGGAAACTTTTCATAAAATCGTAACGCTTACGTTACACGGCAATGCCAGAGCTGAAAAATTCTGAATTTTGTGTTGGTTTTTTTTGCAAAGCACTCTTTGTGTAAAGATCTTTAATTATGATATTGTTGAAAAACAAAAATGCACTCACTTCGTCCGGGTTTGCGGACCTCCTTGATGACCCGCGTCCGCAGCTCTGCCAGGTTGCCGTCTAGTGGAGCTATGAAAATGATCTCAGGCACTGCCGGCTCAGCGTCAGCGCCATCCAGCTGGCTCTGTGGACTCAGGCGTTCACAGTTGTGCTTCTCCTCCAGCGGCTGCTCGTTTAGATGATCTTCCACCAGCCTCTCCTCCATCGTGCCAAGGTCCTCCCCGCGAACTGCTGCTCCTGTCCCAACGTTCTCCTCTAAACTCGGTGAGGATGTATTCCCTGCCTCAGTTTCCATCTCTGCAGGCCAGATTTCCCCAGAGTCGAGCCCGAGAGCGCTGTCGCCATTACTCTCTGTGACCACCATGCTATCCACTCCTGATGATGCAACAATGAACAGCGTGAGCCTCATATTCACCACCTTCGAGCATACTTTGTTATTACCTTCGCATCTTACCTTTGTTCTGTGGACCCGGTTTGAGGAGGTTCTGCTGCCCCTGAATCCCTGCTAGGTTCTTCCCAATCACCACATGGTTGGTGTTCCCTGATGGGGTCTGCGGCCGCCGCAGCAACGGTGACATGTTCCGCCTTCTCTTCACAGTAGCTCCCGAATTGGAGTCACTGGAATTTCCTCTCTTCTTATTTTGAGGGCCTGCTACAAACTCATCCGCCTCATCGATCATCATCCCCTGGGAATAACAGACAGAGAGAGGAAACCGTTACACAATGTAAGGGCGCGATACGGAGTGAAGACATCTGTGTGCAGCTAAACTGCATTACCTTCTTATCCTGCTTGAAAGGATTCCCAAATGTGTGCAGCCGTTTAGGCTGATCGGGATCAATCTCTCTCAAAGGGGACGGCATCATTTTTAGGTACTCCTGATAGTTTCCCATCTGAGCCACTGGAATACTGTGCAGGGAATCTAACAACCACAAAACGATGATTTCATGAAATGTTGTAGTAACTACACCGGATTCCAGCTGAAGAAACGCATGATGCAAGCTCATTAAGTTGTTGCCTCCCACTAGCAACACACTGCGTATTGACTTACCTTCATCTTGCCCTCGGATCAGTTTTAGTGACGTCCGCAGCAAATTGGAGCGCATTCGTGTGAGCTGATCCAGGAGGTTCCGTCTTGGGATGTCGTAGGCATTCCGATAAGCTTGAGGCTTTACATCCTGCAAACACATCTAGTCAGAAAGAATCCTACCAAATACTGTACACGCTGTGTTTTCCCTCTCCGCTGACAGAAAGTATGCCACACACTGCACAAAGTGTCCGACTGTCCTAAACCTACCTTGTTGAGCAGGACGATCTGGAAACCGGCAAACTCTTTGAAATTAATGTCCGGCAGGCGAAGGGGCCCCTCCCCCGTGATTCCCTGCAGCAGCTGCTTAAAGTCTCGCCGGTGGGCTAGAGAAAGCGAGCTGGAGTGGTTCTTCACCTTTATGCCAGTTTCCTGCGGAGCCTTTTTCCCCACCGACACAATCAGACGATCCGACTCCATTTTTGCCTTCGAGCCAACAAAACAACATCTCGGTATGAGGATAACAAGCAAAGTGAAATGAGTGAAATATAATTTGGAAGACATCTCTCCACTCCATTTCTTGGCAGTCTTTCATGCAGATAATTTCAGCCACAGATAATCATATTAAAAAATAAGACAAGTATTTATAAAGACTTTATATCCTCATGTAGAAACTCTTTTAGCTCCACACTTGATAGTTAAATTATGGCAGCACAGGACTCATAGCTGTATAGTCAGCACCTGTATCTGCAGCAGATGGTGAGACTGTCACTCCTGAAAATATCCAGTCAGCGTGCATGAGTTTCCAAACTATGACTTGAATAATACTTCCACTTAGACGCCGCTGCTTGATGCTTAACATACTCTTCAAACTAACAGAAGAAATAAGATAAGAAGCCTTTGATGGAACCGGAGGCCTCACACAGCATCAGTGCTCGTTGTCTTTGACAAGTTTATAGTTTCAGTTCAGTCTCCTCAGCGCTTGTGTCGTTTAGTCTGATCTCTACATTTCATCACGATCAATAAGCACCACAAAACCTCTTTTACAGCCTGGAAGTGACTTACCTGCTGGCTGAGCTTCTTCAGGTAAGAAATGACGCTGTAACTCAGTCCGCAGTCCATGGTGTCCGCGATAAGGTTAGGTGCACCCATCATCCTCAGTGCCTTTTTCAAGGGCTGTCAGAATTTAAGATGTTAGTTACAAGAAAAACACCATAAATCCATTTAAGCTAAAGGCAGCATTAAAGATGTTGCATTCATTTACCAAGAGGTAGTATGGAGGCATCGTCTTCAGGTACATCTCAAAGGCCTGTCGCCACTTAAGGTTTGGTTTTAGTTTGTGCACTTTGAAAAAATCGTCTGCAGGGAGAAGGAGAAAATGAGCAGTGGGTTAGTCTGAGAGATTATAGCATCTGCATCAGTGTCCAGCTGCAGCAGACCCACTGATCCACATGCATCAGTACTGAGGATGATGATGGTAAGTCTACAACAAGCTTTGAAACACACATAAAGACCCAGACAATATTCATGTCTTGCACAGAATTGTTAAAGATAAACCTTTTAATGATGTTCTGTGTTGTTAGACTGATACTTGTCATGACTGGAGATGATGAGGTGTCCCAGAAAAGGAGAGCTTTTAAATATGATGTCAGCTCAGGCCTACTGACCCAGAAGTTGTGGTTTTGGTTTTTTTTAGGCCACCCTAAAGACAAATTTACTACAATATGTCTCACCGAGGAGTGGGAGAAGGACTGGGTAGTTGTACGGCATAACAAACAGATTAACACAGGTGAGAGTGGTGCTGGCTTTAAGGTAGCCAAAAGGATGCCCCAGGTCATTCTGCTTCCCGCTGCTGCTGACAAACACCTGAGGACAGCAAGAGAAAACATGAAGGTAAAGCAGAGCTGCTAAAAATGAAGCCAAGCTGTATTCACAGAGCTTTAATGGCGTGACCAACAACTACTTCATAACAGCCCAAAAAAGGTGAAACGCTATGATGAATTTAGCAAGTAACCTCATTATGTCTGGGTTTCTAGAAAGTCCCCGAGGCAACACCTGTGACTTTGTAAACAAGGCGAAGAGCGTTAGTGGAAGCATTTACTCTACCTGCCAGCACATGTGTGGGGACTTCCTTTCCAGGATGTACTGGGTGAGCGGAGAGGGCTCCAGTTCATACTTGTCGAAGGGAAGCTTGTCGATCACCATGGGTTCACAGTCCACGCAAGAGAAACGCACCACGGGGTGAGCAGTTCGAGGTGGCTGTGAGCAGCAGATGGAAATGAGCAAACTGTTAGGTGTGTTTGTCTTTGATACACAATCCTCTGACGTCCTTATGACAGCAGTATATAACAAAGCATTAAAGTTTTACAGGTAATCGCAATTATACTGGACGGTTACTAAAAGGTGTTACAGAAAAAAACTGGTGCCAATAAAAGAGAAAGGAAGTAAGAGAGTTTGCGTGTCCATAAAGCTACACAATACAAATATTGACATATAATCAAACACTATAAGATGTAATCTGAAAGACAGACTAAGAAGGCTGCTGAGGTATTTTGAAGCTTCTCTGCTCACTAGGGTTGGAGAGTTCTGGTCCGGCCAGAAGGACTCTGGTATGGGCCAATGCCCGACTGGCACCCCAGTCTTTGGGTTTGGTCGCACATAGATGAGTTTGTGGCAGCTGTGCCATGGCTGTGGGCCGAAGGATGACACAGGCCGATTTGAGTCCACAGAATTATCTGGAAAACAAAAAAAAAAAGAAAACAATAAGCGGGCTGATACTAACTGTTCTACTTGGCAGGATCACGCCACGTTGACTGATATGAGCTAAGAGGCAAATAAGAATACGTTTGCACGAACGGGGGAAAAAAATAACAAAATATGCAAATGGGAAAGAACAGAATTTGATTTTAGTTGATCACATTCATCCAAACTACATTCAACAAGGAATCTCTAGTTTCTCTTTCACTCAAAAAATTATTCTTTGCCCTCTTAAACATGAAGCGATAATTTTAAATAAAATGCAACTTAAACATATCAAATCAAAGGTTTATTTATCCAAATAACTAATCATTAAGTACTTGGCCAAACTAAAGAATGCACTCAGTTCTCCTTTAATTTCATTTACTGTGTTTAAAGTTTAAACAGGTGAAAAACTTCATCCTGGGATTTGAACTTTTAATGGTCACTGTGTTCTGATCACTCACCTTCCCCAATTGGAGGCGGATCTGGCCCGTTTTTTTCAAAATTAATGACAACACCACTTTGAACCTTTTGGACCAGAGACTCCAGACACTGGTTCAACATCCTCTGTGTTCGCACGCAATATGATCGCCCTGAGCGGAAAAAGCAAGACACACGCCAATCAGGCATAAGAGAATTTATTGTGGACTCTACCCCAAAGACTGCAGACACACAGTGAATGAATGAAAATAGGAAAACATGACAAACCTCCAGTAACTTCACACATCTGGGTGATTGCAGACTCATCCGTGGGGACACTACCAAGTTGCTCATTATCTGGTGTAGCTGCTCCTGGCAGCCTCAGTACCAATGCAAACAGACGCTGGTCCCAGCGAAAAGGCTCTTTGGTCAGCTCGCTGCCAGCCAAGGGAGAATTCAGAGGCAGGTGCAGCTACACAGCAGACAAGAATGAAGTAGGAGAGCAAGTTAATAAGTGGAAATGCAAAAGGTCGCTCGTTTTACAGAGCTTAACCTTCAGATGGCTTCAGCGACTCAAAGTATGACATGTGTGTACAACAGGCCCAGCTGGAATCACTGTATAAATACTACATGGTAGTGCCACTGCATTTGTTTGTGCTCTCACCTCATCTGGCACTCCCGAGCTGTGCGTGAGCTTGTTCCCATCAGTGATGGTGATGATCACAGATGGCTCAAGGAAGAATGGGTTGCGGCCCTGAGAGGGAAACGATAACATTCAGCAATTAATTCCAAGTTCAATACTAAATGGAAAAAAACACTGAGGCCATTTATTTTCACTACTCTGACTTCTTTTTTTTCTTTGCATTCCAACTCACTGTTCAGGGCTCTGTGGATGAAAAGGATCATAAAATTGGTAACACATGTGAACCTAATAGCACAACCGTTACACGTTGCACGCTTCACCTAATTGCAAAATGCTGGTAAACCGTTTAAACACACATCTACTAAGATGCAGGAATCATTATGGAATTACCATCCCACAGAAACTACATGTAATCTTTTTCTTTGTGTGTGGGTGAATCTGTAAGGTGCAAAGCGTCCGTGTGTTCCTTGTTAATAAGGACAGAGGCCTTTAGTACTGCGCTGCAGAGGTCAGCCTCATCTAATTCAAACACACAGAGAATGCTTAAGTAGATTTAAACGCTCCTGATGCACAGAACTCGGGTCACTGCCCGAGCGTAGTAATCCATCTGTGCCTTAGAGCAGGGGTTTAGAAAAAAGATGTACTTGACGAGAAGATGACTGGGTTAACTGAAGCGAGGTCGAGTGGATTAGGCAAAAGTCTCTATTCTCCATGTTGTCTCCAGGTACATGATGTCTTCCTCTTATTACTTCAGTTACATTTACTCCAACTTAAGTCTTAATTTGGGTTTAGCCATAAAATGTCTCGGTTATAAACACATATCAGACTCCGCTATTCATTTTTGTACTTTTCTTTAAAAGTTAAAATGAGTAAAATCCACTTCTCCTTTCACATTATTCTGGTAGACCTGCCCTTGGTCACCTGATTAGTACATGAGCAGCTTAAACAAGCAAACCTAAATTAAAACATCAAAAAACATACAGGGTAAAATCAATTCAAAACTACATCAGTGTGTTAAAAGCACTATTGTGTCCCATAATTTCTTTTTAAGACAATGCATTTATATCACTGACTAACAGTTTAAAGCAAACACACAAGGGCAGAATGTGTGAATCCATTTTTCCACCTTCAACTCCACAAAAGCTGTGAACTGCATGCAGATGCATTAAACAGTAGGAATGCACAAGATTAAGACTGTGCATGCCTCTGGTGCTTAATCAATTAGGTTCGAGAGTGCATCTCTGCTCTTGCTCTTG